CCCCCGATGTGGTAGAACCATAGACCCAGAAATGGTCCTTGGCAGCAACCAAGTCTGAACGTCACCATTGCCTCTGGTGGTAGTACAGGCCACTCAGATCAGCATGGGTCCCAGTGGTAGTGTGGCCCTCAGACACCAACATGGCCCTAGACCTCAAGCATCTGCATGGTCTTTTATGGTAAAAGGAGCCTTGGACATCAGCATGGACCCTGACTGCAGTAAGATCATGGATCCAAACATGGCCCTTAGCTGCAGCTCTGGCCTGGACATCACTATGGAATTGGGTAGCAGTGCAGGCTACTCAGATCTGCATGCATCATGGCCCTTGGACACCAACCTGGACTCAGATCAGATGGGTGACCTGACCCTGGGCATCCTCACGGCCCTCAGTGGCAACAAGAGTCACACATGTCAATCCAGACCCTGGCTATATAGGGCCATGAAACTAGACATGGTCCTTGGCAGCAGCCTAGGCCTGGATGACACCATGGCCCTGGGGGGCAGCACAGGCCACTCAGATCTGCATGGCCTCTGCTGTGGCATGGCCCCCAGACTCCAACAAAGCTGCAGGCTATGGCCTAGATCCCAGGCCTTCTTGTGGGTCCTAGTGGCAACCAGGGCCACAGAATTCAACACATACCTCAGCTGGACCCAGACATGACCCCAGGCAGCAGGTAGGCCCAGTTGACATCCTAGCTCCAGGTTGAAAGGGGTAAACTAAACTAAAATGTTTTACTTCTAATAATTTAGAAATGAAGGGACCAGACCCTCACTCAGCCCCCTTCTTTAGCAGCCAAGACAGGCTACAGAAAAGACATGTAGGCCTCTAACACAAGGAAATTCCAGATCCTCTGGCCTCCTGGAGCCTGGGGCCAAAACTGAACACACACACACACACACACACACACACACAAAAAAAAAACTCCAGGCCCCACCTAGCCTCCCAGATACTTGGTTCCTGGGAACTGTTTGGCCACAAAAGAAACTCCAGGGGAGACCAAAACCTCCCCTGTAGTATCCAGGGTATAGTTCTGAAAACTATTGGTATCTATGTACAACAGGCCACCTACAAGTAACAAGACAAAGCCATAGAAACCACAGAATATTCCCTCTCATCACTGAACAATGAAAATAATTGCTTCACACATATTTCTTGTCAAAATAGGACTTTGAGAAATTCTCCTGATTGTTCCCAAATGTCAACCAATCAGAAATCAACCGGTACCTATTGATGTAATCCTGTAACTTCAGTCTTTAAAACCTAGCAGTAGACAGGGAACTTTGCTCCCTCTGGAGACTGCTGGGTCAGCTTGCTAGACAAGGTCCTTGTCATGGTTGGATGAATAAAACCTTGCTGTAGGTGGAAATGCTGGCCACGCCTGCTTGGGGGCTGGCACAGGTGACACTGACTATGCACACTTGGACGTGGTCAGAGTGATGTAGCAAGGCCTTAAATATGAGGGTCAAATGCATGGGGCTCTGTTCCCTCACCTGTCTGGTTGTACGGGACTGGTTCCGTCAGGTGAGTACTTTCCTAATAAACCTTTTTTTTTTTTTTTTTTTTCGAGACAGGGTTTCTCTGTCTACCTTTGGAGCCTATCCTGGTACTCGCTCTGGAGACCACGCTGGCCCTTAACTCATAGAGATCCGCCTGCCTCTGCCTCCCGAGTGCTGGGATTAAAGGTGAGCGCCACCAACGCCCGGCACCATCTGTTTTTTAAACTAGCTCTGACTCCATTGGGATCCGCATTAATTGCCTTTCTCAACACCTTGCTTTTGCAGTTTGGTAGGTCTGTCATCTTCCTGGTAGTCTCTGGGGATCTTTGTAACTTGGGCACAGCACAGGTGGTAGTCCCGACCACTCAGATCAGGATGGCTCTGGTAGCAGTATGGCCCCATGGATATCAACAAGGCCACAGGCAGCAGCCTAGACCCCAGGCTTTATGTGGCCTTTGGTGGCAACATGGGCCAGGGAAAACCAACAAAGACCTCAGCTGCGGTAGGATCATGGAGGTAGGGTCATGGACCCCAGACAAGGCCCAGGCATCACCATGGCCCTGGGTATCAAGCAGACCTCCCCCATCAGCCTATTCCTCTCCTTCATTTCTTGTTGGGAGAGATGTTGGGCCCCAGTCTCCATGAGTTGATAACCACAGGTGCATCCTGTTTCCTAGTCCTGGATTACAGCCTCAGCCTTACTCCACTGACATGAGTTGATAACCACAGGTGCATCCTGTTTCCTAGTCCTGGATTACAGCCCCGGCCTTACCCCACTGGCATAAAAAATACCTAGGAAAACATGAGCTCTTACACCTTGGTTTTTCCACTGTGCTGTAAGTCTGTATATAAGGCTGCTCCCTCCCTGCAAAAAACACAGACATGTACACACATTCTCCTAGCACATACAACCGGATGTCTCTGCTTTTAACTGAATCTCCAGGCTTTTGCCCGATATTCAGGCTTAGTCATGGCTCGGACACCACAATTTCGTCCTTTCTGTCTTTCCAGTGTGTGAACCATTCTGCTTCTTTTTCTCTCCCATTTCTCCACCACATATTTGCTTATTATAATGGGCGCTGGGTGGACCCACTGATGTCTTCCTCCAGCCAGGACCTTGAGGATACTGGCTGGCTAGCCCTGGATTAAGCAGAACTGCATGGGGGAGGCATGGGTTGCTTCCTGTCAGTAGGGCCTTGAGGACACACCTGCTGGCCTGCCTGATCTCCCTTCTATTTCTGCATTATCTGCTTTTTTGTTTTTCCTTCACAGCTCTTCTCGCATGTGAAGTTTAATTAATACCTAAGGTCTCTGCAAGAAGTAATAAATTCTAGCATTCAATATATTAATCTATCAATTTAATGTTTAAAATTTCTAGATTTTGTGTTAGGGGTTTTTGCTGAATTTGCTCAGTAGACCAGGTTAGCCTCGAACTCACAGAGGTCCGCCTGTCTCTGCCTCCGAGTGCTGGGATTAAATGTGTGTGCCACCACTGCACAGCGTGCCTGCATGTATGTTTGTGTATCATGTGCATGCCTGGTGCCTGTAGAGGTCAGACAGGAGCCACTTGTGAGTCCCCTGCAGCTTCTGGAAATCAAATCCAGGTCCTCTGGAAGAGCAGTCAGCACTCTTAATCAGTGGGCTATCTCTCCAGCCTTTATATTTAATCTTTGCAAGAGCTCTATGATGTAGATGCTTTTATACTAATTTCACAAATGAGGAAACTAAGACTGTGGTTAAGTAAATCACTCAATATCTAAGAAGTGGAGATCTTATCCCATCTTAAGCCCATTTTCTTGAGACAGGGTCTCATTGTGTAGCTCTGGTTAGCTGGAACTCACTAGAGTGCTGGGATTAAAAGTGTGAGCCACTACCACCCAGCCAAAAACACACTTATAACAAAGGTTTCTTTTTTTGTGTAACTCTGAGTGTCCTGGAACTCTCTTTGTAGACAAAGGCTGGCCTTGAACTCCCAGAGATACGCTTACCTCTGCCTCGTGAGTGCTGGTATTCAAGGCTGGAATTCTAAGTGTGTGCCACCATCAGTGAGAACTTTCATTTTAAAGTATTCCAGATGGTACATTTTATAAATGACTTATTGCCCCACAAATGCTAGGCAAGCTCTTAGACACACACACACACACACACACACACACACACACACACACACTCTCTTTCCCCCTGACTCGCCCCACTCCCAGATGATTTAGAATTCATCTTTGTAGCAGAAGGGCATCGAACCTGCAATCCTCCTGCCTTAGCCTCCTGTAAGCTTACAGGTCTTACCCACCAGGCCTGGCAAATATGTAATTTAAAAATATATAATATATAATATATAAATTTTGCAGGGCGGCAGAGTCAGTTTGATCTCTGTGAGTTTGAGGCCAGCCTGGTCTACAAGGAAAGTTCCAGGACAGTCAGAGCTGTTACACAGTGAAACTCTGTCTCAAAAAAACAAAAATAAATAAATGAAATAAATAAATAAAATTCAAGGGTCCATGGAGCTTGCTGGCCACTAGCCTAGTTCGAGGTTCAAGTGACCTGTCTATCTTAAGGCAATGTAGCCAGGGAGCGATAGATGTCTTCATGAACACTTTTATGAAGGTACAAAAGAATGCTGTTAGTGTGGTGGTAGTGATGCTCGCCTTTGGTCCCAGCTCTCGGGAGGCAGAGGCAAGGAGAGCTCTGTGAGTTAAAGGCCAGCAAAGTCTACAGAGGAGTGCCAGGACAGGCTCCAAAGCTACACTGAGAAAACCTAGTTCTAAAAACCAAAAATAAATAAACTCACCCTAAACAAACAAAACACCCCCAACCCCCTAACCAAATGTTAGGAATTTGCATAATGCAATAACAGCCAACCTGTGAGATCCCTATATAAACTCTATTCTCTTGTTTAGAGATTCGTGATTTGAAGAGACACAGTTTGGAGAAAATAGTATAGGATGCTCTAGGTCTAGGATTTTTTTTAAAGAGTTTTTTGTTTGTTTTTAAGATTTATTACATATATACTGTTCTATCTACAAGCCAGGAGAGGGCACCAGATTGAATTGTAGATGGTTGTGAGCCACCATGCGGTTGCTGGGAATTGATCTCAGGACCTCCGGAAGAGCAGTCAGTGCTCTTAACCTCTGAGCCATCTCTCTCCAGCCCCTAGGATATGTTTGAAGGAGTCCGAGATTAATAAACACTTCTTGAACAAGCCGGGCATTTTTGAGCAGAGTGATGCTAGTTAACACGTTCGTACATCCATTTACTAAACGAGTAAATCTTGACTGGGCGCCTTTTCCCCGAGTCAGTCTTTACAGAGGACAGCAGTAAAAAAAAAAAAAAAAAAACCCTTTCCCGGCTAATCTCATCCAGAGCTGCGAATGAATCGCAGTCCCCCGGATCTGGGGCGGCGAGCGGGTGGGGGCGGCGCCGGCCCCAGCCAATAGGGGGCGCGCTCCCGCCCTGCGCCCTGCCTCCGGACCCAGCGGCTTGCAGGCTCCTCGGTTGCTCCCAAGCACGCCCCCGCCCGCAGCGTCACGTGACGCCACCACGGAACCCAAGGAGCCGGGCCTAAGCCGAGTTAAAAGTCGTTGCCGGCGGCCGCCGCGAGTGCAACCCGAGAGGCTCACCCGGAGACGAGTGTGGCAGGCCCGGGGAGGTAGATGCTACCTTTTCCCGGTCAGGTCGGCTCCCGGTCCCTTGCCACCATTCGCCGCTCGCGTCTCCTTGAGCCTTTGCATGCGCTCTCTCGCGTGAGCAGGCCCCGGTTACCATGTAGCGGGAAAGCCTGAGGGAGCACGGGTGCCGGGTACGAGCTCAGCGCTGACGGCACGCAGCTTCGGCGTGTGTGGCCCCCCTTCCCCCTTCCGCCCCCCGCATCTCTGCCGCGGCCCGCGGGGCCCTGCTGGGAACTCCGGCCTCCCGAGGAGGCCTGGCCCCGAGCGCCGCCAATTCTCGCCGCCGCCTCTCGCGAGAGTCCAAGTTGAAGGAACATGGCGACATCTAATCTGTTAAAGGTAAGCCCCTGTCTCCAGCCGGGTTTCTGCTCGCGGCCGACGCGTTTAGTTCCTGGGTGAGCACCGGGCTCCGAGTGAGCGGCGAGATGTGAGAGTGTCTCAGGCTTGTCCACCGGAAGGGACCCGGGACGGCTGCCCCGAATACCCCGACGCCGGGCCCTGGCCTCGGGGTCCAGAGGCTTCGGTGGTTGCTCCCGCTGACTGACTGACTGACTGACTGACTGACTGACTGACTGGGAGGGATGCTTTCAAGGGACCAACCCAGGCTGCGGGCGACAGCAGTGTCGCTGGGCCCCCGGCGGGCGGCCCAGCCATTGTGACTCTTAGGGTCCGTTTCTTCCGAAGCGAGAGTCAAAGACATAATAGGAAAATTCTCGACAAAATGCTGCCTAGCAGGTTTTGACTAGGACCCCCCCCCCCCCCCCCCCCCCCCCCCCCCCCCCCCCCCCTCATCCTCCCCCCCCCCCCGCTTCCCTCCCCGGTTCCTTAATTTCTGTTCTCACTCTGCCTCCAGGAAATGCGAGTCAGATAGCAGTGCCTCCCACTCCGCCCCGTTTCTCCCTTTTCTGCATGTTACATCTTCCCTCCAGTTCTCTTGTTCTTGACTTCATGTTCCCATGCTTTTTGTTCCTCGAGGAACTGTCTCTCCCAAGCCTCGACTCCCCTTAGAGGACATCAGGTGACACCCGATGAAGTGCCACCGTCTTTTTAGCTGGTGGGAAAGTTTTTCTTATCAAAGAAGACATTGGGAAGTTTTTAAGTGTCAAGAAAGGCCCGGGGTTGGGGGGATGGGGGGCAAATTCTGTTAAAAACTTAGGTAAGGACTGAGGAAGATATGGGGCAGGTTTGAACTATTTGTGTTTTTAGTTAAGAGTCCTGTCCTAAAAGTATTGACTGAAATGGGGGTAGTGATTACCTGAGGGAAAATAAACACTGTATTCAGGCTCTGTGGATGAATAATAATAATGAAATAGAGAATGTGCCCTCCCCCCCAAAAAAAAAGCAGAGTCTCTTTAGCCCCATCTTGCCAGAATTTGCTGTATAACTCAGCAGGCCTCAAACTCACAGAACTGCCTCTGTCTGTGCTGAGATTGAAGACTTGCATCACCACCCTGGAGAGTCCTTTAAAAGGACCTAGATTCCCTGAATTTGTCTCTTGTTTTTTTCTTTGTTTGTTTTGTTTTTTAAGACAGGATTTCTCAGGTAGCCTTGGCTGTCCTTGAACTAGCTCTGTAGAGCAGTGTGGCTTTGAACTCAGTGATCTGCTTGTCTGCCACCCTCTTCCCCAGTGATGGAATAAAAGCCATGTGCCACCACACCCATCTGAATTTCTGTCTCTTAAGAGCTTCATGGTATTGAGTTCCTTAACCTCTGCCCAAGCTTCTTCCTTCAGGAAGATGAAATTATCAGTACCATTTTTCATAGCCCTGTTGTGATCAAATGATTTACTTATGATGCTTTAAAAACAGTGATTGCACTTAATATGCAATTCACTAAAGCACTAGAACTTCTGTGCCTATTCCTATAGGAAAACCATTGGGCAGTGGCAACACACACTTTTAATCACAGCACTTGAGAGGCAGAGCAGGTGGAGGCCAGCCTGGTCTACAAAAACAAGTTCCAGGACAACCAGGGCTGTTAATACAGACAAGTTGTTACCCTGTCTTGAAAAACAGCCAACAGAAGAAATAAACTAAAAAAAAAAAAAAAAAAAAAAAAAAAAAAAAAAAAAAAAAAAAAAGAAAAAACTGGCCAGGGGGGGGA